TTTGGGTTTGGCAGGTATTGCTTCAGTCTTTGCCTGCCTTGGAATAAGTACATTAGTTCACTGATGACCAGCTTATCACTCTTTGGGACTGAAGTCAGTTTTGAGGATAAACAAACAATGAAACAATGATTGCAAAGTGGATCCTCATGTCTTCATTGGGAATGACCCCAGCTTATGCACATTTTGTCCATGAAATGACCTTGCATCCATCTCCTGTTGCTGTTAGTCAATAATAAAGTAAAAAAAATTGGCTCTGATAATTATTTTGTAATCAATTGAATATCATCACATTAGAATAATATGGTCTGAGCAAAAGGGCCCTAAATGCACAATGTTGCCCTGAGGCAACAAACAAAAAAACACAGTTTTAGCATATAAATTATAAAAAAAAATTGTCCTGAAATGATATATAATGCTTCTTTACATACTCACAGATATGAAAATATTTTTAGAGTGACCCAAATTTAAACATGAAGAAAAGTGATGTATAACTTACAAGTAGGAGGCAAGGTGTAGCATGCACCTCCGCTTCATAAAAAGGACTGCTGCTATTCTAAGTAAAAGGTCACATGAACCTCAATACCTCTTTTATTTGGACAAAAATATGTCTAGAGGTATTTTAAATCATTCCCCCCAAAAAATAAAATAAAGGAGCAACGTGAGGTACAGAAACTGAAATTTTAAGTTAACTTCCGTTGCAATCAAACTCTGTCAGAGAGTTTGATAAAACGTGCAAGAGAGTTTGACTGTGAATGTAAGAGAGTTTGTAAGTTTTGGCCTCTCATAGCAAGCGGCTAGGTAGTTGATGCTTACACGGTAAGTGTAGCTTTACGGACGAACCGCACAATAAATTTTATATGCTGTCTACTGCACAGTTGACATATTACACTGTAATAAACATTTTTAAAAGTAACAATATGTAGCTAAAGTTTGACAACTATTTTCAAAGTTAATCTTTACAATAAAATGCCTAAAATTTTAAATGAAGTTACGTTTTTATTCATATTTTAAAATAGCAAATGCACATTGAATTATGGAATTGTGTTAATATGTTCATAAATACATCACTGTAAAGGGGTACATGTGTGTAAGTTCATCAATAAAAATGATTTATCAGAATCAGCTGTATCAAATTGTGCCCCAAAACAATTAAATAATCACATCAAAAAGTTTGAAACATTGTCCTTAGGTTTTTATTTTTCATTCCTATATATAATGGTGTGTGAGAGAGATTGTGTCAGTGACATTCATTAACTTACGAAGTTTGGTCCATATACTTGTATGAGCTTGCTGGCAGATAGGCCACTTTCAATATGGCGGACGCTGTGACGCATTGCAACAACGGGCCGACCTTCAACCAATAACTTCCGGTTCAAAAGCACCGTCATCCAATCAGCAATCTCTCAGGTCTCTAACTGGGACATAGCCTTTCCGTTTTGTTAATGTTGTAGTGCTTTTGTAATTTGTAATTGTGCTTTCAATTTGCTGAAATGGTTTGCACCTCAGGGCCACCGTAGAATTAGACTGGCAGCCAAACAGAAAAATCAGAATGGAAAAATAACATTTCAGCTATTTAAACTTAGATTTCATTATAATGACTAGGTAAGATTAAAAAACCTGTTGGATTAAATCTCTTATTTTTGTCTTTTCTCCATTTCAGTTCTCCCTCAGCACCCCTGGTGGCACCCTAGAGGACTGCAGCCCCCAACTTTAAAAATCTGGGCCTGCTTTGGTTTCATTGGTCCAAAGGACATTGTCCTGACAACGAGGACCTGGAGGTCGCTGGTTTACCAGGATTGACCTTTAATCTTTCACTCTCTGCAGACCTCATGGAGACACTTCCATCCATTGACTGCAACTGGGCCAGAACCTCAGTCCTGATCCTGCAGGGATCGTCAAACAGTACGAGGACTGCAGGTCCGTAGAACCGACTGGGTCTGAGGTTCTGGGTGCTGGACCGGACGTCTCTACCTGCTTCCTGGGTTGGACCTGGGGATGACCACGGAGGAGTAGGCCGGTTCTGATGTGGTCCGGTGTGGCTGTTTAGCCTTGTTGACCACAGCATAGGTGTCATTCATGGCGGATGAGCTGTGGACAGACAGAAGACGGGTTGGATACAAAAGGGCCGGGACGAGGACAGACTGTCCAGCTGATGGTGCCTTACAGCTCCAACATCAGGACATAAACGCTGCAAAAATGTTCTTTAGTTAAAGGATCCGGGTTCAGTTACTGGTTCTGGTTCTGAAACTGACTTCAATACCATAAACTCCAGAATATATTCAACCTGGATCCACCAGCCAGTAGCCACTAACCATTAACCAGTAGCTAATAACCAGTAACCACTAACTAGTTACTGGTTGCAAGTTATTGGATACTGGTTGCTAGTTACAGGTTAATTGTTAGTGGCTACTGTTTATTGGTTACTAGATAGGGCTATTAACTAGTAGCCACTAACCATTAGAACACATTGGGGCAGATGGCAACATTCAGACAAAACAATGGGTCAAAACAAAGACACAAGTGAAGGCAGTGACGTCATGGAACCACGTTGCTCAGCCTCCCGGCAAAGTTAGATAGAGGTGTTGTTATCTAGGAATGTCCTCAGGAGCGCTCAGCTCCACAGCTGCATGGATACAAGAGGGGGTGTGGATGGAAGAGCGTTGTGTTTACATATCTTCAAGGAGATTGGAAATATGCAGCCCTTCAAAGGCCACACAGGAAAAGCCAAGTCAGAAACAGAATGGCTTAGGTCGGGAAGATTATAAATTTCAATCTTCCCTAAAGTCTCTCCGATACATCTCAGTTCCCAATCATCCAAATTAGTTTGGTCGTTCCACTGAGCCGAAACTAGCAACTTCTCCAAGATGGATTCCAACTCGTTAGTGAGTTTTAGAGTCCTCGTCTCTGTCCACACCAACAGTCTGAGTGTTCGCTAGTTTGGCCACAAAGCTCCAAACAGCAGAAATCCTGTTATCATGAATAAATCCAGGGTGAATCCCGCCGGATGTGTCCCCGCACGACAAGAGGCTCTCCTGTGCCCAGACTTCTC